TCCCACACTCACACACTCACACACATACATGCACACATCATTACACACACATACACACACATTCACTCCCACACTCACACACATACACACACATACATGCACACATCATCACACACACATACACACACTCACACATTCACTCCCACACACACACATACACACACATACATGCACACATCATTACACACACATACACACACATACATGCACACATCATTACACACACATACACACACTCATTCACTCCCACACTCCCACACTCACACACATACATGCACACATCATCACACACATACACACACTCACACATTCACTCCCACACTCACACACATACACGCACATACATGCACACATCATTACACACATACACACACTCACACACTCCCACACATACACGCACACATCATTACACACATACACACACTCACACATTCACTCCCACACTTCCACACATATACACATACATGCACACATCATTACACACACATACACACACTCACACATTCACTCCCACACTCACACACACACATACATGCACACATCATTACACACACATACACACACTCACACATTCACTCCCACACTCACACACTCACACACATACATGCACACATCTTTACACACACATACACACACATTCACTCCCACACTCACACACATACACACACATACATGCACAGATCATCACACACACATACACACACTCACACATTCACTCCCACACTCACACACATACACACACATACATGCACACATCATTACACACACATACACACACATACATGCACACATCATTACACACACATACACACACTCATTCACTCCCACACTCCCACACTCACACACATACATGCACACATCATCACACACATACACACACTCACACATTCACTCCCACACTCACACACATACACGCACATACATGCACACATCATTACACACACATACACACACTCACACATTCACTCCCACACTCACACACATACACGCACATACATGCACACATCATTACACACACATACACACACTCACACATTCACTCCCACACTCCCACACTCACACACATACACGCACACATCATTACAGACATACACACACTCACACATTCACTCCCACACTCCCACACTCACACACATACACGCACACATCATTACAGACATACACACACTCACACATTCACTCCCACACTCCCACACATACATGCACACATCATTACACACATACACACACTCCCACATTCACTCCCACACTCACACACTCACACACATACATGCACACATCATTACACACATACACACACTCACACATTCACTCCCACACTCACACACACACATACATGCACACATCATTACACACACATACACACACTCACACATTCACTCCCACACTCACACACACACATACACGCACACATCATTACACACATTCATTCACACACTCTCACACATACACACATACATGCACACATCATTACACACACACTCACACATTCACTCACACACTCACACACATACATGCACACATCATTACACACACACTCACACATTCACTCACACACTCACACACATACATGCACACAGCATTACACACATACACATACATGCACACATCATTACACACATATAACACATCATCACACACACATACATGCACACATCATTACACACATATAACACATCATCACACACACATACATGCACACATCATTACACACACATACACGCATACATCATTACACACATGCACACTCGCTCATACATTCACTCACACACTCTCACACATACACACATACATGCACACATCATTACACACATATATACACATTCACACATCACTCACACACTCACACATACACACA